TCAAAAATGTAGTATTAGGAAGCGACACGGAGAAGATCAAAAACAACTTGATTGCACTGATCGATAAATTACGAGGAAATACCGAGGAAAGTCAAACAGTCAAATCGCTGGTAGAGATGGTCAACAATTGCAATTTACAAGATATGTTCCATGACGCTTTACTTGTTGCTACGACTAACTATTACTCGAATGCTGTTGCTCAATTACTGGAAGGAGGATTGGATGTCTTTTTGCAGAAAGTGAAAGAAATGATCGATAGAGAAGATGTTGTGGCTACAAAACACTACATTCAATGTAAACAAGACGTGATCAGTTTTGCTGAAAAGGAACTGATGGTCGAGACTATGGATTATCTGTTGATGACGAAGAAGTCACAGTTGAAGGGTTTTATATCGAACAAAAATTCGGAAATGATCAATCTGTTCATTGCACTGTCGACAAGAGTCAAGAAAGAAGAAGACATGCAAAAAGCACTCATTGAAGTGTTAACGACATTGGTAAAGGACTTCTGCGGAGAGAAAGACGAACAAGTCATGATGAAAAAGCTCTTTGACATGTACGAGTACCTCACCTTCATCTCCAAGAGCTCACCAGTGATGGATCACATCTCTAAAACTGCTTATGAGAAGTCGATTAACATGTTTGATTCCAAAGTCTCGGTAGCACTAGTGAAGTTTTGTGATCGCGTTCTGAGAAAGGGGACAATTAATAAGAATGTGGGAGTACAGATTATCCAACTCTTCAAGTTCTTGCCAGGGAAGGATATGTTTGAACAACATTATCAACTGATGTTGTCCAAAAGGCTTTTGTACAAAGGATATGACTTGGACTCTGAGAGGCTAATGCTGAGCGAATTGCGAGACGAGTGCGGTACGTCGTACACGTCGAAATTGGAAGAGATGTTAAAAGATGTAGAAGGAGGAAAGGGGTGGCATGCCGAGTTAAATAAAGTGATGAAAGAGAAGGGAATCAATGGGGAGTTTGGTATGGTTGTTATAACTGGGACCTCATGGCCGACATGCCCATTAATTACATTTCGCAATTCCCCAAGAA